ATAGAAACACCGTCGATCCCTAGTCGGCATAAGTTTATGGTTAAGACTACGACGGTATCTGATCGTCTTCGATCCCTAACTTTCGTTCCCTGATTAATGAAAACATCCTTGGCGAATGCTTTCGCAGTAGTTAGTCTTCAGCAAATCCAAGAATTTCACCTCTGACAGCTGAATACTGACGCCCCCGACTATCCCTATTAATCATTACGGCGGTCCTAGAAACCAACAAAATAGAACCGCACGTCCTATTCTATTATTCCATGCTAATGTATTCGAGCAAAGGCCTGCTTTGAACACTCTAATTTTTTCACAGTAAAAGTCCTGGTTCCCCCCACAGCCAGTGAAGGCCATGAGATTCCCCAGAAGGAAAGGTCCAGCCGGACCAGTACTCGCGGTGAGGCGGACCGGCCAGCCAGACCCAAGGTTCAACTACGAGCTTTTTAACTGCAACAACTTTAATATACGCTATTGGAGCTGGAATTACCGCGGCTGCTGGCACCAGACTTGCCCTCCAATTGTTCCTCGTTAAGGGATTTAGATTGTACTCATTCCAATTACGAGACCCAAAAGAGCCCCGTATCAGTATTTATTGTCACTACCTCCCCGTGTCGGGATTGGGTAATTTGCGCGCCTGCTGCCTTCCTTGGATGTGGTAGCCGTTTCTCAGGCTCCCTCTCCGGAATCGAACCCTAATTCCCCGTTACCCGTTGCCACCATGGTAGGCCACTATCCTACCATCGAAAGTTGATAGGGCAGAAATTTGAATGAACCATCGCCGGCGCAAGGCCATGCGATTCGTTAAGTTATTATGATTCACCAAGGAGCCCCGAAGGGCATTGGTTTTTTATCTAATAAATACACCCCTTCCGAAGTCGAGGTTTTCAGCATGTATTAGCTCTAGAATTACCACAGGTATCCATGTAGTAAGGTACTATCAAATAAACGATAACTGATTTAATGAGCCATTCGCAGTTTCACAGTATAAAGTGCTTATACTTAGACATGCATGGCTTAATCTTTGAGACAAGCATATGACTACTGGCAGAATCAACCAGATACCTAGTTCCTGCAGGGTGTGCCCGGGAGCGTATCCGTAGATATGCTCCGCAAGACGCACCCCAAAGCCTCCGAAGAGGCAGCGTGTAACGTAGGCTTCACTCTGGAAGGGGCACACGAAGTGCCCGGCCACAGCGACACCCCCGGCGCACCGGGAGTACACAGATGACCATCCAATTGCCCCCACTGTAGCCCCCCAGGAACCGGTCCGCACGCAGGTAGACCCGGCCAGGAATCGCCTTTGCAGGCGTTGGCAGGCTGCGGCATACGGCCCTCGGGTGGAGGGTCCAGACTCCGCGGACACGCCGACGAACGGCGGCTCCCGCGGAGCGGCTCCCCCGGGAATCTGTAAAAGAAGGCTGGCCAGCGGCCAACGATCCACAGACTCCATCGGTGCCGGGGACCGAGAACGGCCCCCGGGCTTCAGACACCCCGGCAACAACGGGCACCCCCGGGCATGATTAAGCCGGCGCGCCTCTGACTTGGCAAGCTACAGATCCCCGCGACACGATATCTCAGGGTCACGGGCGCGTCCGCAAGGGACACTCCGGACCTCCAGTCGACTCGCAGCCGCGGGGCAGAGCACCTAAGACCAGAGAACACACCAGCCGCGCGGGAGAAATACCAACGGGCCGGGTGGGCGGGCACCCCGTTCCTGAAGCGAGGCCCCGAAGGACCTGTGCGCCACCAGTCACGGAGAGGTGACCTGCCTGGCAGGGAAGAAGTGTGGGTGGGCTTCCAGCAGCTGAGATCAGCTGCCTTTCACCTTCCACATAGTACCACCGGCCCTCCCTGGCCCGCAGACCGGCGCGCAAACGTTTTGTGGTCCGAAAGTGAACCGGGGGGGACCCATATAGTATGTGGTGGTCCGTGCGTCAGCCGCTTTTCCCATACAAAGTGGGCCACCCACACATGCCCTCTACCCGGGCTGCAAGGGGACTTAGGCATTTCTGTCCACGCTCGCTGCCCGTTACGCGGCCATACGCTCCGACGTTACGCCCGTTGTGCTCACTCTCGCAAACCGCTGTCGGCCGCCCACGCCGCCAACACCCACTCCTGTGCCCTTCCACTCCTCCGCCCACCGGCCAGTCACGTGGGCCTCCGCCGTAGTTGTGAGGGCTACACAAAACGCAAGCGCCCGGCTGTGCGCCCCCCTCCCCACGCCGGTTGACGGTCCGAGGCGTCGCTACATGGCGATGTGGAGAGGTTGATCGGTGGATTTGCCAGCCCGTGCGGCCTACGACCTGCCTGAGAGGCGTTGTCGGTGGGCGACCTACAAGGATCTCTACGGTGCATGTACGCGAGGTCGGCCAGATATTAGATTTTGGTGTGTTGTGTATCTCTCCATCTCTCCATCTACAGTGTACATTATCTCTATCGTTGTACTATAAACTACACATCGGTGATCTGAATCGAGCGACGTTGCTTACTGGGGGACGTGCTTGGGTCAGAGCCGTTGGCCATAAGTGGTGGTGCTCCTTGGTTGACCCGGGCGATATATATATATAATCGGCTGCAGGACTAGATCGGATCACACCAAGAGGCCGATGGCCGGCATCCGTGATGGAATTCGCACATGGACAGTCCCGAGCCATCGCTTAATGTCGCCCACGGGTTAGACAGAGCCATCCTTGGTCGTAGAATGACATCCAGAGTCAACATACTTGGTGACCCCCACCATGTCGCTTGGCCAACTGGTCAGCTCCAACGCCCATACAAAGTGGGCCGGCCGGCCGACCACCCGCACGCCGCAATCCGCAGCCATCCACGGCCATCCCGGCCGCCTCGCTGCCTCGCCATCCGCGCGCGCGCCCTACCCCCATCCCGGCCCGTCTCTCCCCGCGGCGCCTCGCATCACCCCATCTCACCCGGCCAACTGGTCAATTCCCTTCGCCAGCACGCACGCAACTCGCCGCGGGCACCGGACGCCTGCCTGCCTGGCCCTCGCCGTGAGCGCCGGCCGGTCAGCCGCCCCGCCTACAGGTGCTCCGGCGCCGTGTGGCCGGCCATCCTGCGTGCAAACGTTCTGTGGTCCGAAAGTGATTCGTGGGGACGCCCACCGGCCCACCGCGTCCTGGCGACCGTCTCGCGCGGCCAACTGGTCAACGGCCCTTGGACGCGCACAAGGGCCCGGACGGCCTCCTTGCCTTGACGCCGTTCGAGCCAAGTCAACGCGATTTGATTCCAGATCCATCCCTTCCTTCCTCGGCGAAGTCGAATGGCCAACTGGCGTATGAAGTTGGTCGAAGAGAAGGAGGGAGGGACCCTGGCTCATGGCCGGGGGTCCCATCCCAGAGCCCCCTCCAACCGCCGGCGCTGCCGGACCTGTCAGTGAGATCTCTGCAGACGACTGAGTGACCAAGGTCGTGTACGCGGTCAGTAGTGTTGCGAGTGCTGAGGTCGGTCTTGGCTAGATTTGTGTATACTCACTGACAGTCGCAGCGCGGTGAGCTCTGGATGGACGCATGAGCAGGGTCTCTCTCTTCGACTCATACGCAGTGATCATCGCGAAGGAGATGGATCTGGAATCAAATCGCGTTGACTGGCTCGAACGGCGTCAAGGCAAGGAGGCCGTCCGGCCCTTGTGCGCGTCCAAGGGCCGTTGACCAGTTGGCCGCGCGAGACGGTCGCCAGGACGCGGTGGGCCGGTGGGCGTCCCCCACGAATCACTTTCGGACCACAGAACGTTTGCACGCAGGATGGCCGGCCACACGGCGCCGGAGCACCTGTAGGGCGGGGGCGGCTGACCGGCCGGCGCTCACGGCGAGGGCCAGGCAGGCAGGCGTCCGGTGCCCGCGGCGAGTTGCGTGCGTGCTGGCGAAGGGAATTGACCAGTTGGCCGGGTGAGATGGGGTGATGCGAGGCGCCGCGGGGAGAGACGGGCCGGGATGGGGGGTAGGGCGCGCGCGCGGATGGCGAGGCAGCGAGGCGGCCGGGATGGCCGTGGATGGCTGCGGATTGCGGCGTGCGGGTGGTCGGCCGGCCGGCCCACTTTGTATGGGCGTTGGAGCTGACCAGTTGGCCAAGCGACATGGTGGGGGTCACCAAGTATGTTGACTCTGGATGTCATTCTACGACCAAGGATGGCTCTGTCTAACCCGTGGGCGACATTAAGCGATGGCTCGGGACTGTCCATGTGCGAATTCCATCACGGATGCCGGCCATCGGCCTCTTGGTGTGATCCGATCTAGTCCTGCAGCCGATTATATATATATATCGCCCGGGTCAACCAAGGAGCACCACCACTTATGGCCAACGGCTCTGACCCAAGCACGTCCCCCCAGTAAGCAACGTCGCTCGATTCAGATCACCGATGTGTAGTTTATAGTACAACGATAGAGATAATGTACACTGTAGATGGAGAGATGGAGAGATACACAACACACCAAAATCTAATATCTGGCCGACCTCGCGTACATGCACCGTAGAGATCCTTGTAGGTCGCCCACCGACAACGCCTCTCAGGCAGGTCGTAGGCCGCACGGGCTGGCAAATCCACCGATCAACCTCTCCACATCGCCATGTAGCGACGCCTCGGACCGTCAACCGGCGTGGGGAGGGGGGCGCACAGCCGGGCGCTTGCGTTTTGTGTAGCCCTCACAACTACGGCGGAGGCCCACGTGACTGGCCGGTGGGCGGAGGAGTGGAAGGGCACAGGAGTGGGTGTTGGCGGCGTGGGCGGCCGACAGCGGTTTGCGAGAGTGAGCACAACGGGCGTAACGTCGGAGCGTATGGCCGCGTAACGGGCAGCGAGCGTGGACAGAAATGCCTAAGTCCCCTTGCAGCCCGGGTAGAGGGCATGTGTGGGTGGCCCACTTTGTATGGGAAAAGCGGCTGACGCACGGACCACCACATACTATATGGGTCCCCCCCGGTTCACTTTCGGACCACAAAACGTTTGCGCGCCGGTCTGCGGGCCAGGGAGGGCCGGTGGTACTATGTGGAAGGTGAAAGGCAGCTGATCTCAGCTGCTGGAAGCCCACCCACACTTCTTCCCTGCCAGGCAGGTCACCTCTCCGTGACTGGTGGCGCACAGGTCCTTCGGGGCCTCGCTTCAGGAACGGGGGTGCCCGCCCACCCCGGCCCGTTGGTATTTCTCCCGCGCGGCTGGTGTGTTCTCTGGTCTTAGGTGCTCTGCCCCGCGGCTGCGAGTCGACTGGAGGTCCGGAGTGTCCCTTGCGGACGCGCCGTGACCCCTGAGATATCGTGTCGCGGGGATCTGTAGCTTGCCAAGTCAGAGGCGCGCCGGCTTAATCATGCCCGGGGGTGCCCGTTGTTGCCGGGGTGTCTGAAGCCCGGGGGCCGTTCTCGGTCCCCGGCACCGATGGAGTCTGTGGATCGTTGGCCGCTGGCCAGCCTTCTTTTACAGATTCCCGGGGGGAGCCGCTCCGCGGGAGCCGCCGTTCGTCGGCGTGTCCGCGGAGTCTGGACCCTCCACCCGAGGGCCGTATGCCGCAGCCTGCCAACGCCTGCAAAGGCGATTCCTGGCCGGGTCTACCTGCGTGCGGACCGGTTCCTGGGGGCTACAGTGGGGGCAATTGGATGGTCATCTGTGTACTCCCGGTGCGCCGGGGTGTCGCTGTGGCCGGGCACTTCGTGTGCCCCTTCCAGAGTGAAGCCTACGTTACACGCTGCCTCTTCGGAGGCTTTGGGGTGCGTCTTGCGGAGCATATCTACGGATACGCTCCCGGGCACACCCTGCAGGAACTAGGTATCTGGTTGATTCTGCCAGTAGTCATATGCTTGTCTCAAAGATTAAGCCATGCATGTCTAAGTATAAGCACTTTATACTGTGAAACTGCGAATGGCTCATTAAATCAGTTATCGTTTATTTGATAGTACCTTACTACATGGATACCTGTGGTAATTCTAGAGCTAATACATGCTGAAAACCTCGACTTCGGAAGGGGTGTATTTATTAGATAAAAAACCAATGCCCTTCGGGGCTCCTTGGTGAATCATAATAACTTAACGAATCGCATGGCCTTGCGCCGGCGATGGTTCATTCAAATTTCTGCCCTATCAACTTTCGATGGTAGGATAGTGGCCTACCATGGTGGCAACGGGTAACGGGAATTAGGGTTCGATTCCGGAGAGGGAGCCTGAGAAACGGCTACCACATCCAAGGAAGGCAGCAGGCGCGCAAATTACCCAATCCCGACACGGGGAGGTAGTGACAATAAATACTGATACGGGGCTCTTTTGGGTCTCGTAATTGGAATGAGTACAATCTAAATCCCTTAACGAGGAACAATTGGAGGGCAAGTCTGGTGCCAGCAGCCGCGGTAATTCCAGCTCCAATAGCGTATATTAAAGTTGTTGCAGTTAAAAAGCTCGTAGTTGAACCTTGGGTCTGGCTGGCCGGTCCGCCTCACCGCGAGTACTGGTCCGGCTGGACCTTTCCTTCTGGGGAATCTCATGGCCTTCACTGGCTGTGGGGGAACCAGGACTTTTACTGTGAAAAAATTAGAGTGTTCAAAGCAGGCCTTTGCTCGAATACATTAGCATGGAATAATAGAATAGGACGTGCGGTTCTATTTTGTTGGTTTCTAGGACCGCCGTAATGATTAATAGGGATAGTCGGGGCGTCAGTATTCAGCTGTCAGAGGTGAAATTCTTGGATTTGCTGAAGACTAACTACTGCGAAAGCATTCGCCAAGGATGTTTTCATTAATCAGGGAACGAAAGTTAGGGGATCGAAGACGATCAGATACCGTCGTAGTCTTAACCATAAACTATGCCGACTAGGGATCGGACGGTGTTTCTATTATGACCCGTTCGGCACCTTACGAGAAATCAAAGTTTTTGGGTTCTGGGGGGAGTATGGTCGCAAGGCTGAAACTTAAAGAAATTGACGGAAGGGCACCACCAGGCGTGGAGCCTGCGGCTTAATTTGACTCAACACGGGGAAACTCACCAGGTCCAGACAAAATAAGGATTGACAGATTGAGAGCTCTTTCTTGATCTTTTGGATGGTGGTGCATGGCCGTTCTTAGTTGGTGGAGTGATTTGTCTGCTTAATTGCGATAACGAACTGTATGCCGCATTCCCGCGCTAGCGATGAGTCGCTAAAGTCTGATAATGCGGGCTACTAGTCTGGTTCTTCGTTTCGCATAGCAGACAATCACTCCACCACTAAGAACGCATGCACCACCATCAAAAGATCAAGAAAGCTCTCATCTGTCAATCCTTATTTTGTCTGGACCTGGTGAGTTTCCCCGTGTTGAGTCAAATTAAGCCGCAGGCTCCACGCCTGGTGGTGCCCTTCCGTCAATTTCTTTAAGTTTCAGCCTTGCGACCATACTCCCCCCAGAACCCAAAAACTTTGATTTCTCGTAAGGTGCCGAACGGGTCATAATAGAAACACCGTCCGATCCCTAGTCGGCATAGTTTATGGTTAAGACTACGACGGTATCTGATCGTCTTCGATCCCCTAACTTTCGTTCCCTGATTAATGAAAACATCCTTGGCGAATGCTTTCGCAGTAGTTAGTCTTCAGCAAATCCAAGAATTTCACCTCTGACAGCTGAATACTGACGCCCCCGACTATCCCTATTAATCATTACGGCGGTCCTAGAAACCAACAAAATAGAACCGCACGTCCTATTCTATTATTCCATGCTAATGTATTCGAGCAAAGGCCTGCTTTGAACACTCTAATTTTTTCACAGTAAAAGTCCTGGTTCCCCCCACAGCCAGTGAAGGCCATGAGATTCCCCAGAAGGAAAGGTCCAGCCGGACCAGTACTCGCGGTGAGGCGGACCGGCCAGCCAGACCCAAGGTTCAACTACGAGCTTTTTAACTGCAACAACTTTAATATACGCTATTGGAGCTGGAATTACCGCGGCTGCTGGCACCAGACTTGCCCTCCAATTGTTCCTCGTTAAGGGATTTAGATTGTACTCATTCCAATTACGAGACCCAAAAGAGCCCCGTATCAGTATTTATTGTCACTACCTCCCCGTGTCGGGATTGGGTAATTTGCGCGCCTGCTGCCTTCCTTGGATGTGGTAGCCGTTTCTCAGGCTCCCTCTCCGGAATCGAACCCTAATTCCCCGTTACCCGTTGCCACCATGGTAGGCCACTATCCTACCATCGAAAGTTGATAGGGCAGAAATTTGAATGAACCATCGCCGGCGCAAGGCCATGCGATTCGTTAAGTTATTATGATTCACCAAGGAGCCCCGAAGGGCATTGGTTTTTTATCTAATAAATACACCCCTTCCGAAGTCGAGGTTTTCAGCATGTATTAGCTCTAGAATTACCACAGGTATCCATGTAGTAAGGTACTATCAAATAAACGATAACTGATTTAATGAGCCATTCGCAGTTTCACAGTATAAAGTGCTTATACTTAGACATGCATGGCTTAATCTTTGAGACAAGCATATGACTACTGGCAGAATCAACCAGATACCTAGTTCCTGCAGGGTGTGCCCGGGAGCGTATCCGTAGATATGCTCCGCAAGACGCACCCCAAAGCCTCCGAAGAGGCAGCGTGTAACGTAGGCTTCACTCTGGAAGGGGCACACGAAGTGCCCGGCCACAGCGACACCCCCGGCGCACCGGGAGTACACAGATGACCATCCAATTGCCCCCACTGTAGCCCCCCAGGAACCGGTCCGCACGCAGGTAGACCCGGCCAGGAATCGCCTTTGCAGGCGTTGGCAGGCTGCGGCATACGGCCCTCGGGTGGAGGGTCCAGACTCCGCGGACACGCCGACGAACGGCGGCTCCCGCGGAGCGGCTCCCCCGGGAATCTGTAAAAGAAGGCTGGCCAGCGGCCAACGATCCACAGACTCCATCGGTGCCGGGGACCGAGAACGGCCCCGGGCTTCAGACACCCCGGCAACAACGGGCACCCCGGGCATGATTAAGCCGGCGCGCCTCTGACTTGGCAAGCTACAGATCCCGCGACACGATATCTCAGGGGTCACGGGCGCGTCCGCAAGGGACACTCCGGACCTCCAGTCGACTCGCAGCCGCGGGGCAGAGCACCTAAGACCAGAGAACACACCAGCCGCGCGGGAGAAATACCAACGGGCCGGGGTGGGCGGGCACCCCCGTTCCTGAAGCGAGGCCCCGAAGGACCTGTGCGCCACCAGTCACGGAGAGGTGACCTGCCTGGCAGGGAAGAAGTGTGGGTGGGCTTCCAGCAGCTGAGATCAGCTGCCTTTCACCTTCCACATAGTACCACCGGCCCTCCCTGGCCCGCAGACCGGCGCGCAAACGTTTTGTGGTCCGAAAGTGAACCGGGGGGGACCCATATAGTATGTGGTGGTCCGTGCGTCAGCCGCTTTTCCCATACAAAGTGGGCCACCCACA